CCGCCACCCATCCCGGCCCCCCCCCCCGCAGCAGCATCATGTTTCGGGGACCCATAGGGAGCTCCACTGGAGGCCCCAGTGGCGGCCCGCACATGCTTTTCCGCCACCCATGTCGGCACGCCCCGCGCGTGTTTCATGTCCCCATAGGGAGCTTCGCCGAATGCCCCAGTGGCACCCATCTCGGCACACCCCTCACACGTTCCGCAGTCCTATGGGAAGTTCCATTGAAGGTGAAACCCGCAGCTGCGGTACTGACAACTGCATATGGTTGGGTTCTTCGCCAGGCTAATTTTAATAGGTCCAAACGCCAAATTCTCAAATCTCTCGGGGCTTCCGCGTGCTCACTGGGCTCCGGGAGGTGTTCTCGCATGACTTTTTCGGGCCCGAGAGGGCCCGAAGACGGGCCAAGATGGCTCCACGAGGCACCCAAGACGGTCCAAGAGGGCCCCGAGTCGCCGAAAGATCGTTCCAAGACGCCCAAGATGGCCTCAGGATGGCCCAAGAGACCTCCAAGACGCCCCGAGAGGCCGCGCAAGGGGGCCCCAAGATGCAACAATCATTGATTTCCCCTTCGGTTTTTGACAAATTTTGGTGTTCTCGCCTTCCCGGCTTTCCGACGCTCCAAGACGGCCCAGGAGGCCCCCAAGACCACCCCGAAACAGCCAGAGAGGCCAAGGCCTGAGAGCGCCCCGAGACGGCCCAAGAGGCGCCCAAGACGGCCCGAGAGGGGGCCCAAGAGAGGGAGCGCGTACCGAAAATCCGAGCCTTCCGCCCTACGAGGCCACCCTCAAGAGGCCCCCAAGAGGACCCCAAGAGACCCCAAGAGGCCCAGAGAGGCCCCAAAGAGGCCCCCAAGCGGCCTCTAAGAGACCTCGAAACTGCCTCCAAGAGACCCTCGAGAGGCCTCCCACGAGATCCCAACGAACATCCAATAGGCTTCATACCCACAATCCATGCACGGTGGCGGGATGGGCCGAAGGCCATTGGATGGTCCGCCGCCCCCTGTTGATTCATCACAGGGGTGCCTGGCGTGCTGAACCCTTTCGCCTTTGGTTTTGGTTCCTTTTCCAAAAGAACTCCCCCTGGGGCTTCGGCCCGTCCCGCCGGCCACCCGAAGGGAGCATAATTCTCCCAACAACTCCCCCAAGACGGCTCAAGATGGCTTTCAAAACCGCCCTCATGGCTCAATATGGCCTCCAAGATGGCCTCCAAATCGCCAAAGATGGTCCAAGATGGCTTCCAAGACGGCCCGGGAGAGTCCAAGATGCCTTCAAGTTCGTCCAAGAAGCCTCCAAGACGGCTCAAGATGGCTCCACAATGGCATAAGACTGACCAAGAGGCCCCCAAGAGGCCTCCAAGACGTCCTCCAGGAAGGCCCGAGAGGGCAACAGTCATTGATTTTCCTCAGGTTTTTGAAGGATTTTAGCATTTTCTTCTTATCAGCTCTCCGACGGCCCAAGGCGGCCCAAGAGGCCCCCAACATCGTCCCAAGAGCGCCCAAGAAGCCTCCAATATGGCCCCATGACAACCCAAGAGGCCCACAAGAGGGCCCCAAGAAGAGCCCAAGACGGCCCCAGAGGCGCCCAAGAGCGCCCCCAGAGCGCCCAAGAGGCCGCCAAGATGGCCCCATGACAGGCCAAGAGGCCCCCAAGACGCCCAAGATGGCCTCCAAGACGGCCAAGATGGCCTCCAAGATGCCTCCAAAAACGCCTCCAAGACGGCGAAGATGGCCCCAAGATGCACCCAAGACGGCCCCAGATGGCCTGAAGATGGCCCAAGACCCTTCCAAGACGTCCTCCAGAAGGCTCGCAAGCTCGGAAATCACCTGGTCCGATAGCTCGCCCGACTCCGTGTTCCCCGAAGGCTTTCGAAACCCACTGGGGGAACGCGTGGCCCGATAGCTTGGCCAAGCTCAAGCCTAACTTTCGGCCACGCAGGCGCTTCCAAAAAGGGCAGGTGGCGGCGGTGATTCGCCGTAGGCGTTTTCGATCCGATAGCTTGGCCGAGCTCTGGCCGCAACGTTAGGCCACATAGGCGCTTCCAAAAGGCAGGGGGGGGGCGGTGATTCACCGTAGGCGTCTTCGATCCGCCGCGCCCTGTTGGCTTGCCACAGGGGTGCACGACGTGCGAAACTTTAGGTAGTTTTCGTTCGGACCTTTTCCAAATTTCTAGCGGTCGTTCGGCCGAATGCGCCGTCGCGGAATAAAGACCAGCCAATTTCCCAGATCGTCGGTCTTCCCGCTCCACGACGGCGAAGATGGGTGAACATGGCCTACAATATGCTTCGGAGACGATTAAGATGGCCCCTAGAGTGCCCAAGATGGCTGCAATACCTCTCCAAGACTGCCCAACATGACCCAATATGGCCCCAAATGTAGCTGAAGACGGCCCGAGAGATCCCCAAGAGGCCTCCGATAGGATCTCCAGGAAAGTCCGAAGATCTCTCCTCCTCTTTCTCTTTCTCCCCCACGCGTGCTTTGCTGCGCTATGCTATGCTATGCTATGCTATGCTATTCTGCGCTGTGCTATGCTATGCTATGCTATGCTATGCTATGCTGCGCTATGCTATGCTGCGCTATGCTGTGCTATGCTGTGCTATGCTATGCTATGCTAATGCTGCGCTAAGCTGAGCTAAGCTGAGCTAAGCTAAGCTAGGCTAGGCTAGGCTAAGCTAAGCTAAGCTAGGCTAAGCTAAGCAAAACTAAGCTAAGCTAAATTAAGCTAGGCTAAGCTAAGATGAGATAAGCAACGCTAAGCTAAGGAGACGTAACTGGGGGAACCGCGGGGCGGACGCCGGGGGAACCGCCCGGGGCGTTCTACACTGCCCGGCCCCTTTAAGCACAGAGAGTAAGAACCCTTCTAGGCAGAGCCTAGGTAGGGAAAACACAGACCGACAATTTTCCTTTGCCTTTCCTTTGCTTTTGCTTTTGCTTTGCTTTTGCTTTGCGTTGCTTTGCGTTGCTTGTGCTTTGCTTTGCTGTCGCTGCTGTTGCTTTGCCTATGCTTTGCTGCTGTGCTATGCTATGCTCTGCTCTGCTATGCTATGCTATGCTGCGCGGTGCTATGCTGTGCTGTGCGGTGCTGCGCTATACTATGCTATGCTATGCTATGCTGCGCTATGCTATGCTATGCTGGGCTTTGCTATGATATGCTATGCTGCGCTGTGCTGTGCTACGCTCTGCTATGCTATGCTGTGCTGTGCTCTGCTATGCTAAAGCTCGGCGAAACTATTATGAAGGTAAGCTAAGCTAAGATAAACCTGCGCTAAGATGAAACTAAGCTAAGCTAAGATAACATAAACTAAGCTAAGATGAGATAAGCAACGCTAAGCTAAGGGGCCATCACTGGGGGAACCGCGGGGCGGATACTGGGGGAACCGCTCGGGGCGATTAGCAGTGCCCGGCCCTTTAAGCACACACGGTAAGAACCCTTCTAGGCAGAGCCTAGGTAGGGAACACTTTCCACCATGGCTCAGGGGACGGCGGTCATTCGCCGTAGGCGTCTTCGCTACAACAAGCCATCATCGATCCCTCGAACCTCGATCCTTAGATCCTTCGGTTCTCCTCCTCCTTCGAAGAAGCGAGGTGGCGAGAGGGGGTCGGAAGGGCGCCAGCTGCATGCACGTACGCCGTGCACCGATCTCAGCCAGGCCGATACTGCGCGCAGAATCGGTGCACGCGCTGTCCGGCCCGAGGCAGGAAGGCGCACGCGCCGACCCTGGGCCCGGGGCAGGTGAGTGCAACTGTACACCCACCGTCTTCGATGAGGGCACCCTGGCTTGCAAAGCTCAGGCTCTGGTTTACAGGCGGCCCGGACTAGCAGGTCGACCCTGCCAGATCAAGGGAACCCTCGTGTCCTATGTCTCGCGACCCATGCCTCCTGCATTTCTGCGGCAACGTGGCCCTCGGAACGGTCTTGCGTCCTCTCGCGTGTCCTCTCCAATCGAGTCCGACTGTAGCCTGTACCTGCCCGCTCTGCAAGCCCGCAAACGAGGCGTAAGCTCAGACATCGGCAGGGGCTGGCAACGAATTGCCACGTTCGTGTCCAAGACCGTGGATCTATTATGGGCGCCTTCCGAAAGGGGGGTTGGCCTTCGTTACCGCTGCCCGCGTCCTTAGAGCTCTCTGGGCGAGCGACCAATGCGGAACCTCTTCCAAACCTATCTAAAACTAGGTGGGCAACACCGTGGCCTCTATGTATACCGTCATGTATGGAAACATGCATGTGTGCTGCGAGACACACAAAAAACGTGGGATATGGCAGGCAGGAAAGCATATGCACCGATCCTGGGACCAGGGTCGTTCCAGCCAGGATAGGTGTGAGTGTATACAGTGCGTAAGGATTCGCGGTGAGAGTGCAAGGCCCCGTGGATACCCACGTTCAAGCTTTTTTGGGGGAGTGGCTAGCGAAAGTGGCCAAGGATGGGTCGAAGAGGCAAGGATGAACGGGTCCGTTCTGGTCCATTGGCAAGCCACTCACTCATGCTTATGATCCTGTTTGACTGCAGTTGGCGACTTCCGACGGGGCGGGGCCGCCTTCGTCGTCGCTGACTGCGCAACGGCCGTCGCGGCGCGGTCGCGGCTGTCGCAGAATTCGCTGCTGCGGCCTCGACGGCGGCAACCACTGCGGCGGCGCTGGCGGCAACGGCGGTGGCCGCTGCGCGGCATCTGCTGTCCGGAAGGCGCGGAAACTGGAGGCCGAGGGCGGTTGGCGCTCTTGACAAGGCTTCGTCCCTCGAATTGCGCGATTTTCGGTTCCCCTTCTCCGCCCCCTCTTTGCTCCTCCTCCGCATAAGACAGGACACCCTTGCGGCAACGGCCCCCAGCAACCTTACGCGCTCACGATGGGGCACCACAATGGGCCGTTGATTTCGACTTCGGAGGCCCAGCATCCCTCACCGGGCGAACAGTGCACTATGAACATTACAGACATGTTGTTCAAAGGACGTCGGCTTTCGACCGTCGATCCCTCGGGGGGCGGGGGGGCGGGGTGCGGGCCGCCTTCGTCCCCGCTGCCCGCGTCTTTGGTGCTCTCCTCGTCGGTGTCGGCCGCGGCGGCCGCGTGGGCCTCTCGTCTCCCGGGCGCGGCCGCGCTCGTCGCCCCCAGGACTTTGCGAACGAGGAGGGAGGGGGGCGGAGGAGGGGGGGGGGAGGGGCGAAATCTTGCCGTCGCTCGGACGTCCATTTCCCGTGCATTGTTCGGTTTCGTGCGTGTTTTTTTTGCTCACTGGTCCAGGATGGTCCTCGATGGTTCGCGCCGAGAAAAAATGCACACGTCCGAGCGATGCCAAGACATGGGGGCTAGGGGAGTGAGGGGAAGGAACGGGGTGGGCGATGGGGGGGGGAGGCAGCGGTGGGGGGGCGAAGGGGGGGGAGGATGGGGGCGCGGGATCGGGGGGGGGAAAGGGAGGGCGAGGAGGGGATGAGGGGAACGATGGGGGGGCGAACGAGGGGGTGAACCAGATATATGGTTGCACATAGCGCTCGTGGTTTCGTAGATTCTGCACTCAGCGCCCAAATTGCGACTTATTTCTCTGACGCGGTGGAGCGCAGCATAGGAAGGCGAACGTAACTTGCGAAAGGTGCAGTGGCGCCTTTAATTGGCGCATGCGAAACTCACCCCTACTGTTGTCTATTCAGCTGCCAACTACATTGCGCATGGTTGCGCGGCGTGCGTTGTGCGCGCGGGGCAAAACTGCAACCGCACTGCCGCGCAGTGGGGACTACTTTCTGCGCCACATTCCATTGTCGACAACACAACGTGCACGATGTAATTGTACACTCCGCGCGACCATGCGCTGTGGACAACGGACTTATCAGACGCTACTGCTGCGCGCCGCGCGCGGCGCTCCTGCTGCCGTTAACATCGCCACGGCCTCTACTCCTGCTGGCGCTCACAGACACGGATACCGCATTACGCGTTGCGCTTTGCGAACTGCGCGATGAACCTCGCACTACGACTAATGATGCGACGCGCTGCTTCGCCGCTCCTGCGCACTGCGCATTGCAGCGCGGTGGGTCTCCGTTGCTCCGCGGATGTGCTCAAACCGCAACTGTTCTTTGCAGCATTGCGCCTTCGCCGCCGACGACGACGGCACCAACTGACGACGCCGGCAACTGATGACGACCGATGTCTCGCACCCCCTCAACCTCCCCGTCGCCCTCTTATCCTCCCTCTCCCCTTCCCCTCCCCCTTTCCGGTCCCGCCGAAGCCGGGCCCCTGCGCGAGGGGCTGGCCGGGCTGCACTGGGCGCCAGAAAGCATGGTCATGGCGGGAGGCCGCGCGAAACTCGCGCACCACTACTCCTCAACATACAGTCAGGCCCCTACCAGAAGGAACGCTAAATAAGGAACGAAACCCTTTTTTGCATAGTCACATAATACATATGTAAGGAACGGCCGAGCCCCTTTTTGGAAGCGTTCTCTCATCGCTGCCTCTCGTTTTGACAGAGACCCCCCTCTGCCGAGACCTAAGGAACGGGTTCCCGCGGCACGCAACAGGAACAAAAAACGCCACTGGTGAGCGCCGCGCAAAGAACGGCTGGACTTTTGTTCGTATCAAAAACTGGACGCACGAGTGGGGAGAGAAAGAGAGAGAGAGAGAGAGCGAGCCCCGACGGCCCCCCTGGCCATTTTTGGACCTGCATCGATCGCAAGGAACCGAGGGGCTCCCGTGAGGAACTGGGCCTTGACGTGACCACTGCTCTGTCTGGGTATTCACGTGAGCCTCAAACCGCGTCGCGCAAGGAACGGCAGGGCCTTTGTTGCAAGCTTGGCGCACGAATGACGAGAGTCCCGAAGGCCACCAGCCACTTCTGGAACTGCGTCGATCGCAAGGAACCCATGGGGCTCGCGCGAGGACGGAACCTTGCGCGGGCCTCCGACGACCGACTCCCTGCCGACTTCCAACACATTGGAAACGCAAAGGGCTTCTACTTTCACGCCGCGTGGGCCCTAACGCGACCACTTTTATATATTATTATACTCGCGAACCTCAAAACGCGCGCCGCAAGGAACGACCCAAACGAACCCGCGGCACATTATCTTCGCAGCGGCGCAGGGAACCCAGTCCCTATTCAGGGCCCCGTCCCTTAGATCATCCGCCCCGTTCGGCGAATCGATTGCGCGCGCGCCATGACCCAAGGAACGACGAGGGGGCTTCGTGGCGCAATGGCGAAGGAACGCCAGCAGACCCAAGGAACCACCGAGCCCCTTCCGAACCCGAGCTGGACCTTCTTTCAGGGGCCTCGCTGTATTCAATGTGTTCGCCCAATTCTGGCGAATGTGGATGCACTGGCGCAAGCGTAAAAATGCACAGGCCAAGGCGTGTGTGTGCAATGCGTTCTGTTTTGCAGGACCTACACGCGGACGTGATGATGTCATGTGTCATGGACGTGGTTGCACGGATGCAAGCGTAACGATGCGGGTGTTCAGGTTTACTGAAGCGCCGGATATGTGGCATGGTGCCTGGACTGCGCTGGACGGCTAAAGCGAGTTGGGATGCAGGCGGATGTGCGTTTCTGCATTGACTTTAAGGAGTTGCTGACGGGATGGTTCACGCAGCGCATGATTAAAGAGTGTATACTCTACTGTTGAGGCCGTCAAACGCTGTCGGGGGCCTCGGTGGACGTTTTTGTTCCACCCCCCCTCTGGAACTTGGCGAGAAAACGACGAGACTGATGAAGCAGGACATGCATTTGACTGCAGGGACGCAAGCGACATGATACACGTGGTAAAATGGCACCTCAAGACACAATTCCCCAGATGATACCCCTTTGACCGCGTCTCGCGGTCGAGGGGCACCTCAAAACATGGCCACTTCAACCTTGACCGCCCCCAGGCCTGGGCCCCCCCTTTGACTGCGTCTCTCGGCGGGGGGGGCACCTCGCAGGACACCGCGGCTTCAACGTTAAGCGCCCCCGGGCCACCCCCCCTTGACCGCGTCTCGCGGCCAGGGGGGCGCCTCGGGACACCGCGCCTTCAACCTTGAACGCCGCCCGGGCACCCCTACCCTGACCGCGTCTCGCGGCTAGGGGGGCCACCTCAGGACACTGTGCCTTGATCAACCTCGAACGCCCCCCGGACAACCCCCCCTTGACCGCGTTTCGCGGCCAGGGGGGCGACTCGGGACACCGCGCCTTCAACGCTGAATACCACCCGGGCAACCCCCCCTTGACCGCGTCTCGCGGCCAGGGGGGCATCTCAGGACACAGCGGGGGGATACCCGAGGAGAGAAGAGAGAGAGAGAGAGAGAGAGAAAGAGAGAGAGAGAGAGAGAGAGAAAGAGAGAGAGAGAGAAGACTCGAGCTGAAACCAAAAGAACCAACTAACCTCCTGGCTCCTCAGTCTGTGCTTCTCCTGAACGCCTCCTTGAAAGGAGGTGAGGTGTCGCCCGCGACGGAGCGGGCAACGCATGGCCCGCCGGCAAAGCCTCATCGGGGAACAATCGAGAAGGAATGAACAATGGGCGGGGGTGGCCACAACCGAAACGCAGCCCCCCCACCCCGAACGCAGTGCGCTTGATGCGGCCGTCCCCCACCGGAGATGCGCCCGCCCCGTGCGCCCCCGTACAACCCGTCCAATCGATGCTTGCCGTTTCGCAGCTCTCGTCGAACCTGCTGCTGGGGATGGGGAAGACGAGTAAGGGCCTCTAAACGCTGTGCGCCCGCGCCCCCCTTAGCACCCCCCCCTCACGTGGCGTCAGTTCCCAGGCTCGGGGGGGCTGCCTAAGGGGAAAGCACAACCCCCTCGGGATCACCAGGCAACGCTCCCTGTGGGTTCCTGGTGCCCCGAAAGGGTCCTAAACCCATTGAAGGAAAAAGAAGACAGGGTACCCGGCGCAACCCCAACAGGAGGGGACTGAATGTACGCTCGCATTGCATTACTATCATGATGCCCTGCTCGACGGTGAAGTTGTCCTAGCTTCTTTCCTCCCTTGTCCTCCTCCCTCCTTGCCTTTTGGACTCGGTCTTCCCACCCTTCTCTTCCGACGGGCAGCGCGGCAACCAGCACGGTACTCGGCACGGCACGCTGCACAGCCCACGGCACGGCACTGGGCACATCACCAAGCAAGTTGCTTGAAAGAAGCAACGTCAATGTGGGTTCTCGGCACCCCTCTTACAAATAATCCTCGGCATCCCCATCCTGCTGCTAATTCGCGGTACCCTTCCTGGTGTGAGGGCTTCCTTCTCCCTCCTCCTCGTTTCCGGCATCCTCTCTTTCTTCTACGGATCACCTTCGTCATCACCGTTCAAGTTTCCTGAGTCTGATCTGCCTCCCTCTCTGACTCCTCATTGTCCTCCCTCCTCCTCCTCCTCCTCCTCCTCCTCCTCTTCCTCCTTCTCTTCCTCCTCCTCCCTCCTCTCTCCTCCTCCTCGTCGACAGTGACATGATCCTGGGCCTCCCCCCTCTTTCCCCTTCCGACCGCTCGCGGCCATTGCCTCCCTCCTCCACTCATCTTCCTTCAAATCGCACTCCTCCCTCCGCCGTCCTGGCCCTCGCTTCTGACGGGTGATGCTCGGCATCCCCGTCCCCGCACAGATTCCTCTTCCCCTTCCTACTGGAAATCCTCTCCCTCCTCCTTCTTCTCTTCCTCTTCCTCCTCCTCCTCCTCTTCCTCCTCCACCTTCTCCTCCGCCTCGAAGAGGGGGCATGGCGGCGGAAGCCAGACAGCGCCACAGTCCAAATAGGAATGGGAAATCATTATGTTTTGTCTCGTGGTGCCTTCGGCCCATCCCGCCACCGTGTCTGGGTTGTGGGTTAGAGGCTTCTCGGATGTTCGCTGGGATGATATCGAGGGATGCCTCTCGGGAGGCCTTTTGGAAGCAGGTTTGAAGCCTCCACGGGGGCGTTGTGGAGCTTGTCGGACCTCTCTTAAGCATCTTTGGGGCCTCTTTGGAGCCTCTTGGAGCCACTTGGGGCCTCCTGGGGGTCTCTGGGGGCGGGAAACTCGAAAAGTAGGTTCGCGCTCCCCTTCTTGGGCCCATCTTGGAGGTGTCTTCAGTCTCTCTTCAGGCCCTCTTGGGCCGTCCTGGGGGCCTCTTGGGCCGATCATGCGGCCCTCTTGGG